AAAAAAACCTCACATAAAGGCTCAGAGAGACTCTGACTCTTCAATAGCCTGAGTTGAATCCCTATAAAACAACAGCTTCAGCCTAAAATCTAACATGGTGAATGAAAAATCCAAATATTTAATCAGGGTAAAGTAGATTTATTGTACTTTCTGGACATCTACCCCTACATTTTCATTTGGTATTTAACAAACCTTCCTTAGAAGAGAGGTTCAGGAACTGATCCACTTCATGGGGCTCCAATTTAATCTCTGGAAGAACTTTCTGGGTCAGTGGTTTCATCTAGAAAAGAGAAATTAACAGTATGAAAACCTGGAGTACACATCTTAAAAATCTTAATAGAAGGACACAAGGATTACTTCTCCATAAATGGAGAAGTTTCCTCTCCTCCTGCTCTGCCACAAGAAAAGCTTTAACTGCTTCACACAGTTTGCTAAACCAGGCTATAGAGAATATGGCCCTGACTACTCCCACTATGGCTTTTCTTACTACTATATTTAGCTAAAATAAAAGATTACGCTTCAGAGATGACATTTCAGACTGAAAGCTAACATGTAACCCACTCAAATTACTTCTCTTAGCAACAGAGCTGCTGCTAGGATTTGCTGGACAGCACGGTCTGTTTGAGCAGGGACAGAAACAGCCCTGGGAGTCAGGGAGAGTCTCTTAAAGGCCATTGCCATCTGGGAGCAAGAGCAAAGTGCCAGTCGCTGAGCACCAGGTTTTGGGACCCAGGTTCCTTTAACAGTGCTGAGGAGCAGGAAAACAGACAGTCACTGCTGACTGAAGCTTGGAAGACACCTGGCTTGCCCCACTGACAAGGCTGGGGCACCAGGCTGCCAAGCTGTTGCCCAGAGCCTGTCTGTGTGCTGCAGTGCCAGGCCTGAGGAAGCCAGTCTGGCACACCAGCAGGTTAACTGAAGCCAAAATCTCTCTCAGTAACCTGTGGAACTAATCCATGCAACAGCAAGGAGCCACCATCAAGTCCCAATACTCTGCAAATCACAGCAATCCTAAGCTACAGCAGGACTATGTCCTGGGAACAGCACATTCAAGCTAGCAGAAAATGATGGGAAACTTGTGCTTAGCTTTTGTCAGTTTCTCATACAAAAATTTCTGTTGCACATATTTCTGATCCACATTCAAGTAGAAATATTTCTTTTCAGCATATATCAACTCTCTCCAGCCTGGACTGACATTGCATCCTGGGGGTTGACAAAAGCCATGCCTTTTCCTCTACTGGCTGGGGACCCTAGTGAGCCACCAGCTGCTGCAGTTCATTCTCCTTACCCCGACCACAGCCAAACTAAGCTCTTTAGAATGCCCACTGGCTGCTCCAGCTGTGGTCAGAAAAGCATCACAAAGCTCCTTGTAATGCTGGTTGGTCCGGAAGTAGCTGCAGCTTGAAATGTCAAAGCTTCACACTGGCAAAAGTAACTCTGCAGGCAAACAGAAACTCTCCAATCAATCCAAACAAGGAGTCTTGCTCTGCTTAGGGGAAGGCACAGCAGCATGAAAGCAAGTCCTTATGAAAGACACTTAGTTTGTCACAGGCTTGATAGAGCAAATGGATTAGTCAGTTCAGGTGCAATTGGTTCATTAGAAACTATTCAAATATTTCATGAAACCTAAGAGCCCCAGGCTTTGGGGCCAGCATAGAAGATAAAAGTTGTGTATCCAACCATTAAGAGCTAAAGATGCAGACAACAACTCTTACAGCAATAGTGGGACACCAGCAAACATTAAAAACCATTGAAACAGACTGCAGAGTGCACCCTGGACTGCCAAGCTCTGGCACCAAGGGGTCTGCACTGGAATGTAGCCTTAGGAGAACGTGCAGCTAACTGTGCAGAGAGAACAGAGTCTGCAGTACCAGGGCATCTGTCTGTAGCTCCGGCTGTTCCCCCTCCAGTGACGTGGCCGTGACGGTGAGACTGACTGAGGGAGCAAGGCCTGATGTCTCACAAAGCCCTGGCTCAGTCTTTATTGCAGCTGGAGTAAACTCTGTAGCCAGACACCATTCCTCATTTTCCAGGTCACCTGCCAGGGAAGGAAATTGGACACCACATGTTTAGAGCAGAAACAGAAAGACTACAAATGAAAATAATGTCATTCCTCCTCCAGAGAAGGGAAACAAACACAGAAGACATTTTAGTCTATCAACAAAACTCTGCCCTTACTATTCAGCTTTCAGTCAATGCAAACAACCGTGCCATTTCAGGGCTGTAACCTAATCCTAGCCCCAGGATACACAGAGGAGCAGTGAGGAAAGACACAGAGCACTAATCACTGCACATTGCTGAAAGCTGCTAATGCCTAGCAGAACAAGACTAAACAAGCCATTGGGTATAGCAGCCAGAGAGCCCTGTCCTAAACAGCCTAATGCCTGCTGACTCAGTTAATTCCTCCTTCTAGAGATAGCCTTTAGCTAGACTTCTGCTTCTTCTACTGCTTGGAGGCAGCAAATAGCTCAAATGGTGGGATTATACTTTCAAGAACAAAGTATTTGTCACACCCTTAACTTCATTTTTTTTTCCCCCAAGAATTCATTTAGTATGTGCAAAAGAGGATATAGGCTTTGATGATTTCACAGGAGCAGCAGTGCCACGGTGATCATGCTGATTTCCTCCACAAAGCCTCTGGGAAGTCACAGTACAGGATGCATATTTTATCTGGCAGCAATGAAATGTGCATCACGTGTCAGCAGAATTATCTGCTAACTCCACTTACCAAAAGCTCCCTAGTCCAGAGAAAGCCATGCAACTTTTTTCTAGACAAAGCTGAAGGGTTTGCCGAGCATTGTCAAGAACTGGAAGAAGGTTGGCATGATAAGTTTAGCTCCCCATTTCTATTCACTGTTTTACTTGCTGAAAAAGGACTTATTTTCCCAGGTCTGAAGTATAATAGAGTACTAAGAACTTAGAAAGACTCAATCTTTGAAAAAATTCCATAAGGCTATTAACAACCCCTCTAAGAATACAAAATAATCAAATGCATTTTTGTCAATTGCAATTGTGCCTCAGAAAACTCCCTATTCCAACTGAAAGACTTTAGTCTTTCGTCTTGCATGAGAATATCCTATACCAGCGGCACTGCACCTGAAAGATGCATGTGGCACAGTCCTCTGCCATGACTGAGTAGTAGTTGTGAGAGGCATATCCATTAAATACAGCAGCTGGAATCTCAAAGCAAATATACATAAAAGGAAAAAGAGTGCTGATCTTTCTTTCAAAGCTTTCTACTGTCTTCAAAAAGATTCTTTACTGCATATATGAAATTAAAAGAGAGAGAGCAACACTGTAGGGCTGGCAAAAGCAACAGAGCTCTGAATTAAGTGCAAGCTGCACCAACACCCTGGGAGGCAGCCATGGGGCTGAGGCTGTGCCACCAGCATTCTGCAAGGCTGCACAAGACCCTCCATTCACAGCTGAGTGTATCAAGTTGGTGAGATGTCAACAGAGTTCAGCTGCAAACAGGTAACAAAAATAAGAGTGGGCTTACAGCCTCTGCTGCTGTGTGTCCTTACTATTAAGACCACACACACACACATAGAGCACACAGGCACTCGGCAGAAGCTGGGTGCCTGAAAAACAGAGAAGAATACACATCTCCAGTGCTAGTAATTACTTTGTGGAGGGACCTAACCTCCACCACTGGCAAGGAAGGAGGTAATTTGAGTAAAGACACACCAAGGAATTAAAAATGAAAAATATGTATCCTGTAATCAGAAGCTCAAGAACAGCAAGGCCAGCGCTCTGCCAGGTTAACTGCAGAGCAAGGGCTAAACACTATATTTAAGCTTCTGGAGAGCTTACTCCCAAAGCTTGCTGGGAAATGCAAAAATAGAGGTATTTATAGGAAAAAAATAATAGGTAGGCTTGTCTAAATATTAACTCAAGAGAGAGGACATTGCTCTTTTTCAACCCTCCCTGAGCCGCTCTAGTCACAACACAGAAACACAGCTCCCTCCCAGCTTGCTGTGTATGCATCATTCAGGTAAAACCTTTAAAGTGGTATCTGCCTGGAAATCCAGAATCCCTTGGCAAATACAACTTTCAAATGCCTGTTCGGATAACTTGAGTCAAAATCGGCCCCACATCACCTTGTGCAGAGCCTCCCTTTGCTGCCTCTTGCACCTCTGGGTCAAGCTACCCTGGGGCAGCACCATTGTAAAGGCTATGGATAAATGAGAGCTATTAGTGAAGCCAGTAATTAGCCCTTAATTTTCTCAAATTTGTATCATCATGAAAGTAGAAGGGCAATTCAGTCATGGGTGACCAGCACAACAGGGCATGTCCTCTAAGGTTGCACATTATGATGTCTATCACCTCTAATCCCCAGACTCATCACAAATATTCAGCTGCTCTAAGACAGCAAGATATGCTGGCCTTTGCCTGGTCACTTCGCTCCTCTGGAATCCATCATTTTACTCCTCTGGAAGCCAACTTTGCTGATTAACCTGACATCCCTGCCATCACCACTTAGATCTGCATAAACTGCTCAGAGTTATTCTAGGCTTTAAGCCAGTCTAACCAGTCTGTAGGGTTACAGACGGTTTCAGGCAACAGCAACACACTGCCTTTAGCACTGAGATAATTCTGAACAACCCGCATCTGGCACTTTTTTGACACTGCCTCTTACAATGCATAGTGACAGCTGTCATTCCAGATGAGCAATCCTGTGAAAGGAAGGGATGGAGGACTGGTTAGATCTCACCCTGATACACTCTCCTCTCCGCCCCCCGCCTTTTTCCAAGTCGCTGTTACACATTCCCTACCAAGATCAGGGAGTGTTGTGCTACCAGTTACTTTCTTTTGACACATTCTAGCTTCTGAAGTCACCAATCCCTTCTCTGCTCCAAGGGACCTGCAAGGACAATTCCCACTCTCCTTTCTCCTCCTCCTGAGCACAGCAGGTTGACATTATCTGAAAATCATTCTTAGTTTACTTTTACAATAGTTCTTCAGCATCTTAGTGTACTCTGCCAAGCACTGTGCCAGCAGAGCAAAGTGGAAACCCTTCTCCCAAAGCTCTTGAGAATGTAACACAAAATGAGAAGAACTTAGGCAAAGGGGAAAAAATGGAGCAGGCTAATAGATCAGTGGTCATACAGAGAGATCTGGCACACCCTCCAAGGCAAGTATATATCTGATAGAGGGTTATAGAGAACCATGAGAGGAGGTTTTGCAGAATAATGAGAACAAGCAAGAAGGTGCATGTGAAATTCTAAAATAAAAAAGACAACAGGAGCTGGCTCAAGAGAACCACTAGAGGAAAAGGGAGGAAGGTATTTTTTCTAAACCAAGCAAGATGTGCTGTGGTAAATTACTGGTGTCAAGAAGTTAGAGGTGTTTATATTGATATCTGACATGATCCAGGAGGTACATGTGAACTTTTGAGCCACAGTCCAAAACAAGAAGCTGAGAGTGTTGCCCTATTCATATATGTCTAGAATTCATACCATCTTCATGATGGTACAAATTCTAGGCAAATATGAATAGGGCAACACTGCATCCTCAAAGGTGAAACAAAATATGCTTCAAGTCATTTCGATATAGAGAGATGAAAGCCTAAACAAGATATTTGGCTCTCCAAATGGCTAAGAAAATACACATCCTAAATATTGCCACTTTGGCTCTCTTGAAAAATCTCTTCTCAGGCTTCAAAATAGTTCACTGTTGAATAAGTGATCCTGGCTCTCAGTTCCCTCCCCAGCTGAAAATTTCTACAAACCTCAGAACTCTACCATGCAATGACTGTTTAGATGAGTAGCATTCCCCTTTACCTACACTTTCATAAGTCCATGAATGCTAGGCATTTTGGCACATGGAACATGTAATTTAGGGAGTCCACATAATACTTAGCAAAATCCCTTCTACATGCAATGCACTGGTGCTGGTAATTGCACATGTGAACTGAACATTCAGGTTGCAAAGCACCCAGCTATTAAGAAATACCTACGAATGTTTAACTCAGTGTCCTTTTGCACATCAAATACACCTAAAAATAGCAATGTTTTAATAACGTGACCAAACAATTTCTCTACAGAACCCATGCTTTATGCAACAAGCAAAATGCATGGTGCTTCACTAATTGAGAAGATATTCCATGTTTTTTCTTTGCACTGTCTCATGCACAGCCTCACCTCTCCTTTACCAAATACAATTCAGATTTTTTTTTCCCACAGGGCTATTTAATTCCCTCCTAGGGAAACACTCCACAACCTGAAATCATTTTCACAGTGGAGCTGAAAACTCAAGTGAGACATAGAGACACTAAGGCAAAAAAGTAACTAGTAATTTTAAATGGCCAACTGGAAACAACTGGAATAGGATTTTTCAGATTATTTAGCCCTGTTATTATACTTGATCAAAATCAAACAGGCATTGAGCTTTCAGGTTGGGCTGTGAGCATCTACCACTGATCATCACTTAGCAGATGTTTAACTCTAGTTAAACATTAGAGTTTCAACTTAGCCATACAAAAAACCCATTCACCACAGCTACCCAGGGTTTGTGACACATGCAACTAAGATCTCCTGTGTCCAAGACTACAATTACATTTCTTCAGAAAGCTTTTGTGTGCCTATTCTGTCATCAAGCTTGTGCCTCTTCTCCTGCAGACTTGATGATGATTGTCAACAGAAATGTGCTCCTCCAAGAATCACAGCTGTAGCTGTAATCAGTGTGTGGGATTTAGGCACACAAATCAACAATGGCTGTGGTTTTGCATGTCATAATTAATAGATACCATTTCTGTGTTTATAAAAAAAAATTAATATATCTGTATTTATACATATAATTTTAAAATTCTACACAGTCTCTTAATAAGACCATGTGCAGCTTTCTAGGATATTAATATCTCTCAGAAGAACTGCAACATTTTGTTTCTCTTCTTGTATGGAAAGGCAGGGTAGGCAAAGTGGAAATTAAGGTGAAAAATGCTTACCTCTACTGTATAGTTTTTCTAATATCAGAGTTCCCAGAAAGTTTTGCTTTCCTTTTTTTATTTCTATCCAACTAATTCTTCAGTCTTGTCGA